CACCTAAAAAAAATGAGTATATTGAAATATATACAAGAAAATCAATTAATAAATACTTCAACTCTTCAAGGAAGTAATAAAAGAGAATAACGCTTCGTCATTCACTTACCTGATCTATGGAGCCTGTTGTTTTCCCAAAGCTCGTGTTCCCGTTTTATAGACTGCTGCTTTAATGTGAGTCGAGGGCGCGCCGACGTAGTTTTCTCTTGCCACTGTTTCTCACGTTTTTCTACGAATTCCTCGCTGACCTGCAAAGGGTTACTGTAATCGAATCGGGCAAAAAAGTTCTTTCAAGCGCTAGAAATTATCGAATAAATAAACGGCTTATCACAGTAAACGGTGCAGTTCGGTTTGAGGGGTTGGGGGGGGGAGAGATGGGGGCATTGTGCACTTTCGCTACTGCACATCGCCCTGTTTATTGCTTTATAGAGCCTGACAGGTATTCTTTAGAAATGAAAGGTAGTCTTCATAGACTTCGAAGAGGGGACGGTGCAAATTCAACCCCTCTCCCCAAAACGAACTGCGCCAAACTTTATAAATCCTGTTTGATACAATCAGTTGATTACCTTTGCAAATGGATTGTACTCCTCGTCATAGACACCATCGTTATCGTACCATTCACGATCGATAATCTTCTGCTCAGCTTCCCACTGTTCACGCTCAGCATCGTCGTGGAACTTTGGTCTGAAAGTCTCATTAGAAAAGAGGAAAGCTACATTTTAACCTTGGGATATGCTTTAGATCAAACAAGTGAAACATCGCTAACTCGAAGCCTTCTTCCTTCACGGATCGGATAGTATCTTCACCACGCGCATGCTTCCTCCGTTGCTCTTGTTCACGACGATCTCGTTCGCTCCGCCATATGCTTCCAACGCCTAAAAAATCAAATAAAGTGAAAATGACCGCTTTCAAAGGTAACAAAGGCAGTTCAGCTTGGTGGGGGCATCGACTGGCATTCAGTTAAGCTTCTACGGGCCACCTTGTGAAGACCAGTAAATTTCTGTGACCAATGTAGCTCATTCGCGCCATTTCGCAGCTTCACAGGGATTTCCAGATCTCACCCAATTGAGGTCGTATTACCTCACAAAAGGAACTAGCGGGATCTAAAATGCCCCTTCCAAGCCAGACAGCACAGAAACACCTGCGATCAGCTGCGACAGCATCAAGGTAAATATCTGACAGAAAAAAATACTACGTAATCCAAATCAATTAAAAACATTTCACTTCTTTCGGAGTCTCCTCGACGAGATGACGACACTGTTCTCGGTGACGGTGTATCCCACGAAGATTTTTTCACTGGTCCATCATCGTCGGTCCAGCCGTACCGCGAAGGTGTGAATGGGACCTATGAGAAGTAAACATGAATTCTTAGCGATAAGGTGTAGACTGGAAAGAAATCGTTTATCGACGCCAAAAGCATACCTTGAAGTCTGGAGTCTCGTATTCTTTACGCTTTCTTTTCTCATCACGGCGATCGCTCCGATCGGATCTCTTTCGGTCTTCTCGACGATCTCTCGAACGACGGTCATCATCGCGATCTTTCCTGTCACGATCTCGGTCTCGATCACGTTTTCTACTATCCGCCACAAGACCACGGCGCTCATCACGATATTTCTCAGCTTGATATCTAAATAAAGTGCCGCAATAAACTGAAACCACGTGATCCAGCCAAAAGTATCAGTTCTGAGTTTACTCGCTGAAAAACCGACCATGATCCTATAAACAAGGCAGTACAAATACCTGAAGAATATTGTCACAACAGTGCTGAGTTATGGGCAAAAGCCTTGACCCAGATATCACATATGAATGTGTAATAACAATGTGAAACTCCAAAAATTTATTCCAAAAAACTCAAAAGACAGCAAAAGTCTCAAAAGTTTTTAAAATATCTTATCTTGCGATATTTCGGTGCGTAGCACCTTCGTCAGGTCCTGTTGCACTGTCTTTCGGGACAACAGGGCCTGACGAAGGTGCTACGCACCGAAATATCGCAAGATAAGATATATTTTAAAAAACTTTTGAGACTTTTGCTGTCTTTTGAGTTTTTTGGAATAAATTTTTGGAGTTTCACATTGTTATTACACATTCAGATAAGAAATGAGACTCCGGGACAGCACAATACTCCAGATATCACAATAAAATGAGGATGAAATGTTTCCACCATTGTAATATTTAGCCAAAAACAGGCTCAAAAAGCTTTGTAGATAGTGAAATTTGGTTTGAATAGAGGAAGAAAAATGAAAAAAAACGAGACATATGTGTGATATTAATCAACCTTCCGCTTGCTGGCAATAATATACAGGAACGCTTGTATGAAGTAGGGAAAACCATTTATCTTACTGGGAAAGCTACTTGGAAACCTTTATTTACAGGGAAAAGAACTACAAGCTGCCTTACAATAAAAGCTGTAAAATTTCGCAGTAAATTTCTTTATCTGAGAGACTGTCTCGCAAAAAGGAGAACGCAATTTTTTGAGGTTCTCCTGAAATCCTAGGTCAGAAGAAGCCTATTGTGTCTTTCGAAACTTTCTTAAGAGCTCGCTGCAGTCTCCTAATCAGAGTGAGGCTCTCTACATTAAAACTTGATCGATCGACTATATTGATAGTTCATTTTCTCAACATTTACTAGCCCGTTCTCCGTTGCTATACCAGTAGGAGTCGATGGCCTACTCTAATGGTAAGTGTAAATGTTCTCCTACAAGAAAAAAAGCTTTAATTGAGCAACCACGACTTCATAAATGCAAAACACCCATTTCTCGAACAATAAACTGTCCGGCACTCTTTCGCTCTTAGCGCTGTGAGCGTTTCGCAATATTGAATAAAAAGAGTTGTTGAATCAAACAGTAGAGAACAGCGCAAGCTTGCAAAAAAGAAAAAAACGTGGGAATACGTCCGCCACTGCAGCCGTGCCTGCACTCGCGCAGTCAATTAAAAACAGCGGCTTATACCCGGTTAAAAGGTTCTGTCAACCGGATATTCTCTTGCCAGGGGTGCTTCGGTGCCGGAGGGTCCGGAAATTCTTCATCGCATCTTTTGGAGCGAGAAAA